AAACGCTATATCAACGAACGTCAACAATACTTCTGACTGCAGTTCAATTACTCACTCTCTACACACATTACTGTCACGTTGTGAGCATCCTATTTATATACCAGAAAAACATATATCTAGTAAATGCTTGGGCATTCACGAAGAAACAAGATACTTCCAGAAAATAGGCGGCGTGACAATAGTCACGTGACCCTCTGACACAACAGTATTAAATCACCTGCCAGTCCCTCTTGTTCTAATTTAACATGCAAGCCATAACACAAATGTGTCTAAATATGAAAAATGGGCTACCATCTTATATGTATTGCAAACCGTGGTGTCTGTCCAAGCATTCGTCCATCTGTCTCCCATTTATGACGGCCACATCCCATGCTACGTTTGAAAAGCTCAGCATACAGGCAAAGCTCAACATTCACTTTTGAAATGATGGGGAACGGGCATGAATAATCTCGATGCCAAATCTTATTTTGCAACCAGGATATTCTACACTAAATTGTTAGGAATATATCAGACTGTCATTCTCATTTCCAAATTTGATGTAACTTAAAGAATAAAAATAGATTTATCATATGTTATTGTTCAGTGGCTCTTAGTATGACTGAAATGCTCAACAATTACTTTTCAAGGTGGGCAGTATAAGCAGCTTAGAGCTTTGGCTCTGAGTGAAACCAAGAGTGCAACACAGTTAACCTTTTTAAAGTCCATGAAATAATTTAAATTGATAGATTAACTTAAACTTTTTCTGTCACTGGGGACGGGTACCTTTGCTTGTAGATAATAATATATGTAGTAAAATTTCTAATGTATATCAGTGAAAACTCCAATTTTTTTTTATGAAAAAATTTTAAAAAACAATAAGTAAAATTTGAAATAATTGTTAATCAATCTACTTCTAAGAAAAGTCTAACATATAAAAAGAAAAACTGAAGAGTAGTTACATAGTAACAAATTGTGTACAGAAATTTAAAAGCAAAGCTACAGGCAGGCTTGGCAAAAACATATCAGATTTCTGAGAGTTACCTTTTCTCAGACAAAACATTTTATTCTTGTCAGTAGTATTCAACATTTTTCTATAGTAGATAATTTTACTTATAAATTTGGCTACCGTAAATCCATAATATAATGCATTTAAAGTAAAAACACACTTGAAATGGTTTTGCTGATGATGTCAATCATGTTATTAGGTTGAATTCTTTCAAAATGTTGTTGGATGAGAATGTGAAAAGCTATATCAGTGTGTATATATATATATATATATATATATATATATTATTTTTAGTAGTGTATCTTAGAGTATTACTTCTATACATC